GTCAAGGCTATTGTTAATGTGTATAGGTTCAGAGAAGCAATCAGGAAATTTTATAATCCTTAGTATAATGGGTAATTACGTAATTATTTCGAATTTCTTCGGCACTGAATAATTGTTCGAGTTATCCTGTATGCTATTTTAGTTTGTGCCGAAAGAGGCTTTATAGTCTGACTGGCATGATAAATTCGTTTTAATCTTAATTAATCGCAATTAATAAAGCAATTCGTAATTGTAATTGTTTATGCATGTACTGATTAATTATTGATTAAAATAAATAATAATTTACGGAGAGAAACAGTGCTAATTAAATGTTAGGCATAAGGAATAATAAAAAAAAAACAAAATGATCGTAAGTTAAAGAGATAATTTTGCTAATTTTAATGAGACAAATTAATTTCGTGAAATGAGCATCATTTTTTGCTTTAAAAAAATCGAAGAGATCGGCGTATAAATTTGCGACATCTGAAAATAAGCAGACTCTCTAGTATTACAGAGTATTACATTACGTGAATCCACAAATTTCATTTGATATAGCACGAATCATTCTTTTATTTTAAATATTGGTTCAAGCAATTTTTCTTTAAAAATGATTTTATGTAAATGATCACATTTTAATTGGTGAAAATTCAATTCTGGAACATCAATATTTAGCGAGTATTCGACGAACAACTGTTGCTATTTCGCCGATAACATGAATAATCTTGGAAAATAACGTCATTGAGAGTTCCTGATTTATTGCAATAAAGCAATGATTTAATATAATCCCAAAGTAAAAAGTCAAATAGAGTTACGTCACATTATTTGGGGATTGCAGGGTCATTAACCTTTCCTCTCAATGACTTGATTGTGTCACGAGATATATGGCGTGTTGTGCCATTTTGGTGAAACCATATATCGTCCAAGTCGATATTTGTTTACGTACAGGTCTTTTAGGATCATTAAGATCTTAGGACCGTTTGCTTATTTATGAGGTTATTTCATCAATATGAGCTTCATACAGATGCACGAAACGCGTCCATTATTTTCTTAATAAGTTTTAACAATTTGTTTACGCTGTACAACTATGTATGTTTCGTATTCCATAAATAATGGTAAAATCCAAATAATATATTGGAAAAAAAATTTGATTGAAATCTCAATCAGAAGCGTGTATTATTACCGCTCGCTTCCGGAATCACAAATTGGGGAGCCTATACTTTATAATATAAGTGTAGCCACTCACGAGTCTGTAAAGTATTTCGATATCCCACGGACTAACAGCAGTTTCCGATAGGGGTTTAAACTTAAAAGTAAGATTAATTAACTGCTTGGCATTGCGAAAGAGAAGTTCTTCGGAAGCAGACGACTCGCCAGAAATAACATTGAGGATATGTTGCGGAGTTGAAGGAATCAATTCAGTGCAACATTTTATTATATTGTTCACATGTGCCTTTATATTCTTTTCTCTATACATTTCGGTAAATCACAAGATATTTTACGTGATAATTCGGCCTTAGACCGTCATGATGCTCTGTATACTGTCAGAGCTTTTTTTGAGGCAAATCTGACTGATTGTTTGGCATAAGTTTGATGATGTTACATGAAGGCTGACAGTCTTTGATGGCTTTCACACAATGTGGCTTGAAAGGTTAGACTGCCATATAGTACCGAAATGCCCAGATACCGAAAAGATTTCAACTGATCAACTTCAGTACTTACAAAGAGAGACTAACTTTTCGTTTAGATTAAAAAATAAATTCTGCTTGTATTGCTGAGATGAAAGTATAGATTAAAGTCGGCATATGAAAGAAAGAGAGGTTACCGGGAAATAATTCACAGCATCTGCAAATGAAGAGTGAGCGGACACTATTACAAAACCATTGGCGTGTTGAAACATACGGATTTTATTGTCTTGAAAGGCATATAATTTAGTTGTGTATGCATTGAAGAGAATGGGGTTCAAATAACTCAACAACAAGCAAAAACATATGCGTTTCTTAGTATAAGTTGTTGATAACTTTTAATCATACCACTGTTCTGAGCATCAAACAATAATAAACATTAACAACAGGCCAAGGCGACTATTAAATATTCCATATTGCTTCGCATAAACTAGTTCTTCTTTCATTTTCATAAAATACCAAAAATTATACCTTTTCCTGTGTAAAACACATACTTTTTATGAACAAAATCCAAAAACTGAACCGTTACGTGATTTATATATAGCAAAATAAATTTTCTTGTCAAAGATTTTATGATTTTTCATCTATTTCCATTATAATATAATAAAATTTAACTTTAATAATATAATA